TCCTCCTCCGCCTCCGCCACCAGTTCAGCACTCGTCTCCTCCGCCAGCCGTACCTCCTGTCGGTGTGAGAGAGAGCAGACGGCCTAACGCTGGGCCACCTAATAAAAAGGATCACAAGCCTCCATTGCCTTCGGGCAGCAAGCCACCGGGGGGTGGGCAGGGGCACGGCCGGTCGGGTAGGGTCGAGACAGAAGAAGAGAGGAGACTGAGGAAAAAGAAGGAATACGAAAAACAGAAGCAAGAAGAGAAACTCAAGCAGCATTTGAGGGAGTCCCAGAACAAAGTACTGCAAAAGACCCAAATGTTGGCTTCCGGGTCGAAGGGCCATGGGTCGGTTAGCGGGTCACACATGGGGGACAGGAGAAGTACCCCGCTGCTGAGTGGAGATAGAATTGAAAACCGGCTCAAGAAGCCAACAACTTTCCTGTGCAAGATGAAGTGAGTATATTTTGGGTTCTCTGTTCAATTATTGTAGCATGGTCTATTTGCATGATAATTGTTTTAAGGTATTGAATTTGTGCTGAGAATCAATGCTGAATCTCGGAGACTGTGGTAAGTGTTGTTATCTCTTAGGTTCTTTAGTGAGCACGCGTGGGAGATTTTAAATTGATTGGTATGTAGCAAGTAATTGTTATTACTTTATCATTTTGATTATTTTGGTAATATATTGATTTATCTTGTCACTGCAATAACAACATGCAAATTTCTGATCACTAGGTTCATGGATTTTAGTAATCTATATTATAAACGTACCGAGGTTTTACCATGGCTGCTATTTTAGCAAGTTAATGCTATTACTTTGTCATTGTGATTATTATGACAATCTATTGATTTATCTTGTCACTGCAATCACATGCAAATTTCTTGAAGTCAGAGTTTTATAATTTACGCTTTATTGTTGTAGTTGATTGCATTTTAGGCACCATTTATAGTGCATTGGCTTACAGCGTGGTAACATCTGAATTTTACAATTTAATATTTCCTACATGCCTTGATGAGAGTGAGTAGATGGTGTATGTTCATTGTTGCTTCTGAGTTATATGAGTTAATATTACTGTATGAGCAACCTAGTTCAAATCATATCCCCGTGTTAATATCGAGGTTTAGTTTGATTTTGTAGGTTCATCCCTTTTACATCCTGCTTTTAGGGAAAATTCACATTTGCCCTTCTCACATCATATTTCACCCCACTTTACTCTCTGCGTTCATTCTACGCAAGTCTTGGTGCTCTTTTTTCCTATATATTTACTCCTAAATCATTTTCCATTTTTACAAGCCTCATCTTGGAGCACTTGGCTGTGAATGCTTCCATTGTTCTCTGCATTTCTTTTGATTTCAATGCCTCATGCTCTAAGCCTCGCGTTTTTACCCTTTTTAACATCTCTTTTATTTCGTGTTTTCACTCAAATAGGTAATATTTGGTCAAGTCTCTGTGATTTTGCTTCTTTGGGCTTTCCGATTGCTAGATCTTGAATAAATTTTGATTTCAATGCCTCATGCCTAAGCCTCGCGGCTATACCCTTTCTAAAATCTTTTTATTTTGTGCTTTCACTCTAATAGGTATATTTGGGTCAAGTCTTTATGATTTTGCGTCTTTGGGCTTTCCGATTGCTAGATCTTGAATAAGTTTTGTAAAAGGCGTGGATTGTATCAACTTTTATCAAGTTTTATTGGTCTTATCATAACCCATAAGCAAACAACCCCTACGATTTTTTCAATATTGAAGATGGACAGCAGTTTCGAGTGTGATTTTAGGTACCTAACTAGACCCTCAAATATCTTGTTGATCTGGGTTATACACAGTAATTATTTATCATTTGCTGAGTGCTGATTCAGAGATAACTTTGATCCATTTCTTTGAAGCAGTTATATAAATGTCCATTGACCGGTAATTTTGTGATATGCAGGTTCCGAAATGAATTGCCTGATCCATCTGCAAAGATCAAGCTTCTGTCTTTAAAGAGGGACCCAGATCGGTATGAACCATGTCGCTTTAATTTAATTTTATTTTTTCTGTGTCTTAATGAGATAATACTTTCTCAGCCAAATCACCTTTTTTGGTGCTTTTTACTTTCTACGTGATTTCTTTTTATCCCTCAATTATGTTTCACTCATCTTGCCTTATTTTCTATCACATCAGTGCTCTTGGTAACTGGACCTCTGTTGAATAGGACATTATTCCAGGTTTACTATTTTTTTATTTGCAATGACTTTTTGCCTAATTTACCTATTAGGACACTTCAAGGTTGTATAATTAGAGGGTATAGTGAATAAAAAGAAAAAGATTAGGGAAAGAAAAGGAAAACTTGGGCTATGACTCGGAGATACTAGTTTTGCAAAATTATTCTAAAAGTGATTGCTTGTTATACATTGCTTAATGATTATTTTTAGTTGATATTATTTTTTTTCTAAAGTAGTTTTTATATGTGATTGATGATTGGATTAAAAGAGTATAATCGGTGTGTTAATTTCTTGAATGAAAAGCTAATTCAGTGATAATGGTGTTTATAAAGTATTGATTGGTGAATGGTATATCTTTCGAAATTATTTGTAGAATTTTGATGCTCTGCCAAAAGTACTTCCGAGAAATATATTCTAAATAATAATGTCATGCAATCATACCCGTCTCTTTAAACTCCAGTTTATAGAGAATGGATAGTGAAGAAAACAAATGGCCAGAGGATTTAGCATTTTACTTCTATGTTACATCACATCAAAGAACCTCTTAACTCCCCGCGAAATGCAAAGTATCAAATGAAAATGGGCAAAATCTGTATTTGTGCTTTTTGCGTGTGTGTGTGTGTGTGTGTGTTCGATCGAGAATCTGCGCTTTCTTTTTCATTCTTCATTAGTTTGTGGAAACAACATAATTGAGTCTCTGCAGATACTGCAAATATCAAATCACATCACTGGAGAAAAATTGGAAGCCTCAGCTGCATGTTGAACCAGATATGGGGATACCGCTGGACCTTCTTGATCTGAGCGTTTACAAGTAAAATTATTTCTCTCTCAAATTTTTTCCCTTCAGTTTGATTATTATTATTATTTGCTGATTCATTTTATTTATCGTTGTTGAGCAGCCGCCCGAAGAATAGAGAAAGAATACAACTTGATCCAGAGGATGAGGAATTACTACGCGACGATGATCCTATCACACCAATTAAGTCCGATGGCATAAAAAAGAAGGATAGGCCAACAGACAAAGGTGTCTCTTGGCTTGTTAAAACTCAATACATCTCCCCTCTCAGCATGGATTCAACTAAGCAGGTAAAATATTGAATCCCCACTCTCCACCTCCACCTACAAGAAAGCAGTATCCATGAAAGCCATGTTATGCCCCTAAAAAATGAAAAGAAAAGGTGAAAATATGAGAAACCACATCTGGAAGCTAATGAATATAAGTTGTTTTCTTAACAGTCTCTGTCTGAGAAACAAGCTAGAGAATTACGAGAATCTCGTGGTCGGGACCTTTTGGAGAACCTCAACAGTCGGTTAGTTACTTAATATACTTCTGATAATAGCAATAGTATACTGTATTTGTTCCTGATATTTGAATCCATTTTTTCCCAGGGAAAAGAAAATAAAGGATATTGTTGCTTCGTTTGAGGCTTGCAAGTCGAAGCCTGTTCATGCAACCAACCCTAGCCTACAACCGAAAAGGGTTCTTCCTCTCGTTCCTGATTTTACGCGGTATAGAGTCTTTATTTGTTCTCTTTATAATTAATTATCAGAAAGCACTTATTAGTTAATTTTCTTACACATGGAAGTCTAAGAGTTATTAGATTCCTTTTTTTTTTTTGGTTGGCCCCTCTCCTTCTCCCTATTCTGTGTGTGGTGTGCGATGTTGTGTGCGAAAATTGGAATGCTTGTATACTTCCCATGTTTGTTCATATATACTTTATGTATGATATCACCATCTTTCAGATCATGCCATAGGCTCCAAAATCTCTATGAAAATTTTAAGACTTCCATCTGAACAGTTTGAAAGGAGCTTTTGTTAGTGGACTGTTATTCCTTTACAGATGTGTTTCCTGATTAGTAAAAAATTGGATGTGGGACCAAATTCGTTCCTCATAGCAATGTTGTCATGTGTGGTTTTGCTTTTTTTTTTTTTTTTTAATTAGATATCGAGTTTGATGGTTGGTGTATATTTTACAAATTGAGTCATTGTTTGCCTCCAGTCATGCTGCATAATTTTCTTGACTTCAATCTGATGATGACTTTTCTTATGTCTCCAGGTATGATGACCAGTTTGTAGTTGTGAATTTCGATAATGCCCCAACTGCTGATTCAGACATCTACAAGAAATTAAGTGCAGCAGATCGGATTGAGTGTGAAAGCAAAGTAAGTAATTGCTTACATGTATATATAGTGTTGGGAGTATGTAGGATATGAAAACTGTTGGTCTGATGTGCCATTTCGCATACTTCTCAGGCGATAATGAAAAGTTACGTGTCCTCAAGCTCTGATGTAGAGAACACTGATAAGTTTTTAGCTTACATTGTGCCAGCTGCTGATGAGGTAAAATTTGTTCTAATTGAATTGATATATGACATGGTACGTTTGTCGATTTTGCTTCTGGATTATTATTTTCGTCCTTTCTTGTTTATGGTATCAGCTAGAGAAGGATATGTATGATGAGAATGAAGATATCTCATGTTCATGGGTCCGCGAGTATCACTTTGATGTAAGTTTCTCTGTAACTTGATTGCTATTAATTTTAATTATTTCTTATAATTGTTATAATTTATCTTGGACTCACATATTATTATGTCCTGTTAATGACTTGGCAGGTACGTGGTGATGATGTCGAGGATCCTACAACATACCTCGTTACTTTTGGTGAATCAGAAGCAAGCTATTTGGTTAGACTTAGTCGTCTTTTTTTTCCTTTTTCTTTTTTTATTCTAAATTGAAGTGTGTGTATCTATTGGCATGCTTTGTAACTGATTTTATATTTTTATGTAGCCGCTCCCGACAAAGTTCATGTTAAGGAAAAAGAGGGCTAGAGAAGGGAAACTGAGCGAGGAGGCAGAACAGTTTCCCATTCCTAAAAGCGTGACTCTAAGAAGGCGGGCCACTGTGGCTGTCCATGAACTGAGAGATGATGATGGGGTACGTAAAATGCTCGTTATTCTCGATCCAACATTTCTATCATGAATTGTTAAAGATTAGCCTTAAGGATCAGTCGAACCGCATTCGGATTCATTCTCGTTTTTTTCTTTTTTTAAATCAGGATTATACAGATTCGAGGGTGAGCTCAAGAAATGGTAGGAGAGGTAGTGGTGGGAGTGAACTGCGTAGGATGGTTGAGGATGCAGACCCAATGGATGCTGATGCTGATAACTTCAGTGGGGCTGAGGATGATATCTCTGACTAGTCACCCTTTTTGATAGTAAGTATAAGTATTATTAACTAGGATTTCAAATAAGTACATTTTCTAGGTTTGCTGCTTTTCTTTTTTTCTTTTATTTTTTGTTCCTTTGTTTTCACCTCTCATGCTCACCAGGGCTGGAACAGCATACATTAATTTTCGTTGTAAAATATCTGTTACGTATTCTATCTGATTTTTTTTTTTCCCGAGGAAAACTAGAGTCTCCGTTAGGTAAAGAGCACTACATTTTGTCACATATTCTATCTGATTTTTTTTCCCTCATATTTGCGTTTATCTTTTATTGTTGGTGAAAGATGTGGGAGTAGGAAGGTTTTGACTAGTATTTTGAATGGTCATCATTCTCTTTCTCATTCTCATCAGAAATTATTTGAGGGAGACCCAGTTTTCAGTATCTGGGAGTTGGCTTTTGGCGGGTGATGTACCGGTCATAGGTCATAGGTCAGGTCCTCTGATTTTACACCATTGTGCGTGTATTTGTTTGCTTATTGTATACAAATTAGACATGGGCAAATGACTGGTTTGGACCAAACCCGGCCAGGTCAAGCCCGTTGATCGAGGGCCTGAAACGGACTCGTGGTTTTGCCGAGCTGGTTCAGGTTCACAAATTAATAAATTTGTGAACTGCCAGTTCCGGTTCACTGTCAGCCCGGGAGGCCCGACAGCTTTACATATTTTTTTTTTGTGAATTTTCATTTTTTTATATTTAGTGTCGGACGAGTTTGGGCCGGAATCATTGACCATTGACGACCCGCCGATCATATTAAATTTGGACTGTTGAATTCTTTAACGATCACTTTTTTTAATTAAATACAGCTTTGGGGCCAAATTGGCCTGCCCGGAGCCTGATTTTTGAATCTGATCGTTTGAGATCCAATGGCCAGGATTGATTTGAACCATCAGAACCATCAGGGTGACTCAGAAATCTGCGGTTCATAAATTATAAAAAAAATAAAAAAAGAGATGACATAAAATTTTTTTTTATAAATACTCCCTCACCCCACCGAAAAAAATTGATTTTTCACTACATATTCAACTATCTCTCACATTATTCCTCTATATTCTACTATTTTTTAAATAAATGTCGTTTTGACTTTTTTGATTCATCCATTTTGCTATGTATCTAGACATATTAAATGTCGTTTTGATTTTTTTGATTCATCCATTTTGCTATGTATCTAGACATATTAATGTCTAGATACATAGCAAAATGGATGAATCAAAAAAGTCAAAACGACATTTATTTAAAAAAGGAGGGAGTAATATCTTCAAGTGATAATTTTGAGTTTTTGTGCCTGATTCTCTATAAAATCGGTTCGATTCAACCCTATAAACTCACTCTCATTTCAGTTTCGAGTCTATAAATTCTCTATAAAATATTCTCCCATTTCTATTTTTTATTATTTTCACCTCTTTTATATTTTATAAAATATATTCTTCTAGTTATAAAATGTCGAGTGGTCGTTGTAGTCGTGGTGCCGGTGACTGGCTACAAAAGCGTAAAAATGTAACGCATCTTCAACTAGACTTCCATTTGTCAATGTCGACGCAAACGATACATTGATTTCTGGACGGTCCAATGTGTCTCTACTAATGAAATCCATGAGAGCTTACAGTTCAAAGAGAACGAGGAGGACCAGGAGTCGCCCATCCTACTCAAGGTGAGGAGTCGTCCATCCTACTCAAGGTGAAGGAGGTCAACAATCTCAGATGGCCGCTGACGTGAAATTCGACATTTCACAAGGCATTTCATGAAGGTGTGGGATGAGAAAATGTGACAAATATTTATATGTTTTTGCAATCATTGTTCGCCCAACGCCAAAAAAAAAAAGCACGCTTTCAAAACATGCGATGGGTAACGAATGATGCAACACATAGGGACACATCATCCAGCCTAAATGGGGATTTCCATGACTCAGACGTAGTTCTCGAGGAGTAGAATTGCATCCGCGACTCGTACAGGTACGTCTTCTTGTTTATTTTTATACTCTCATGAAACCCATAGATGTAATCTAGTTAGATTTGTTTTTGCTTCGTCTCTTCCTTTTAGTTCTGGTTATATGAAAATTTCGCTAAATGTCTTAAAACCCAATTACGTCTTGGATTCCACGTACTACTCACTCGCGATATTCAAAATATTATAGGTGAGAAAAAAAAAATATTTTGGCGCAAAATTTTGAAGCTTTAAACAAAAAAAAAAAAAAAATTATTTTTTGTGAATTACTTGAGAATTACTTGTCATTGATAGATGATAGTTTTACATTACAAAAAGTTTATCTGCTTATTAAATCACTTGCATTGCTTCTAATATCGCTCGTTTAATTTCACTTATCTTGAATACTTATAAAATTATGTTAGTGCTAATATTGCTTCTCTAAGTGAACTTAATGAAATTGTTGTCCCCTTTGTGGTGAATTTTTTTCACATTAAGTGTGTGTCATGTCTTTAATTATTGTGTACACACGGGTTATCATGCTTTGAAAGAGTCGGTCATCCATTAGGGAGGTTGTAACTTACTTAAATCGTAGTGCTCACGAAATAAAAAAAATGGAAAAAAAATATTGTAGAGATCAAGGTTTTACACTTAAAAAAATTTCAATTGGACGTGTTCCTACCTGGTGAAACTCAACTCATAAAATGTTAATTTTTATATTCAAGCGGGTTATCATGCTTTGAAAGAGTCGATTACCTACTAGGGTGGTTGTTACTCACTTAAATCGTCGTCCTTAAAAATGAAAAAAAAAATGGAAAATATATCGTAGAGATCAAGGTTTTAGACCTAAGAATTCCAACTTGATGTTTCTTACCCGGTGGAACTAACTTATAAAATGTTAATAAAAACGTTGGAATGGGCTCCTCAATTAGTAAACATTTATGAATTTTTTAGGAACATTTCAAATTGCTACTAACATACTTTCTGGTGTATCCTGCTATTCAACTTGGGCTAAGTCAATGTGTAGTCGTAATGTGAGATTTTAGAGACAATTTTGTTAAAGATCATGACACACACGACGAATTGTAAGAGATAGATATTAAAAAAATGGTTTAAAATATTAGGTTTTCATTCTCGATACGTTTTTTGTTGCATGTTTGTTAGATCTGCCACTACATGAAAATGGCTTGTTCAACCAACTTCACACATATTATGATATTATGTATCAACTCCCACTCCACACTGATGTTCGACTGTCAGTGAACCACCTAACCCATGGCTGCTCGTCAAGCAAACAAAGGTTTTATCGTACGATTTGTTTTGGAAAACAACAATCGAACTAGGGGATCCGACGTCATTTTCTTTTCATATTTTAGGGTCATCTTATTATGGGAAATATGGACAAACGATGCAGCAAACCTCAAACTTTGATGGCTGGTGGAACTCAAATTTTAATCCCTATACGAATGCTAAGATCCAAAGTGCAATGGGGAATGGATATAGTGAGTTTGATCACTACCTCGTCTCGAATTTGATACTTACGATTGCTAGTGAACCAGTTGAGCCAATCAAATTCGGCGTCTTGAATTGGTTGTAAAAAATGAATAATCTTATTCCATGCTTGATGGTAAAGGAGATTTTCGCTTTCTCAACCTCAACTGTTGCGGTTGAACAAACATTTAGTTGGAGATGATATACACTGGACCAACGACGATCGAGGTTGACGCCATAAAACCTAAAGGCTCAAATGTTGCTGAGTGATTGGAAGAATGTCGAATGTAGGATGCAAATTGACGGCCATGCTAGCTAGACATTATCTTACAAGCCTCGACTTAATAATGGAGTCATCTTTCGCGTCTCAAACTAGTATAAACTATGGTCTCAAATTAATAGTTTTAGATTTTTTGAGTCGTTTGAGGAATATCCAGACCTATAATTTTTATTATCAATTGATAAATAAAATAAATGAATAAATCAATATTAAATAATATAAACTATTTGTTTCTATTAAATACTAATGCATCGCATAGGTATGTGTACTAGTTGTTGAAAATACGGTTACATAATTTTTTCTTTTAGTAAATAAGATTTTTTGACAGATTACACACACACACACACACACACACACACACACACACACATATATATATATATATATCGCGTTCAGGTGAGAATTATGCTCATTGAAAGAAATAAGAATAAATCTTAGCTATCAGATCAGATGATCCATCGACTAAAAAAAATCAAATCTTAAACACATTAAGGGTAATTTGGACACCATTACCCATCCAACCACAACCAACCCACTCATTGGTGGGTCCCCCAACAAATCATCACCCACACAACACATGCACACACCCAAACTCGGTTTTTTGGTTCGATCGTGTTTTTTTACTTTTACAAACTTGATTATTTCGGTTCGATGTCGTTTTCTTAATAATTTACTTAATCGAGATATGCGGATGATCAAACTACATAAAAATTATTATTGTCAGTTTTTTATATTTTTATGTAATATATTATTTATTTACAACCAAATATTAAATAAATAATATTGAAATATTAGTTATAATTTGACTAATTATAAATTTGACTCATGAACTAAATTGTAATATATTAAAATTTCTGAAAATGCAATCAAGTCCTTAGTACATATCAAATTTACAAAATGCAGCCCCTAAAATAATAATCTGAAAAGATCGTCTCACAAGTCAAAGTCATCTCTACCGTCGCCGACCACCGTCTCACAAGCCATAGTCATCTCCACTGCCGCCATCGCTTCCAACGGGATGGCGTCTTTTTTTTTTTTTTTTTAATTTCAGATGGCATCTAGCCAGTTTTCCGGCATTCTCGACGACGATGATATTCTCGAAGACATGACACAGAGACGTGCATTCGTCGTATATTGTTTCTTGACGGAGGTCACGATGTCAACGTGAGACGCGAGGCCGTGCCACGAAGCAGCAACCGCCCTTGCCGGCATGAAGCTTGGGACGGAGAGTTACGACGACCATCTCTGTGAGCCTGTCGTTCTTGCGTGTGTTTGATGGAGGCG